AAAGATTCCATACATGAGCAATGCCACACAGTATTTGTCTTTCTCTGTCTAGCTTATCTCAGCATAATGCCCTCAAGGTCCACCCATGTAGTCACAATGGCAGAATTCCTTCTTTCTCATGGCTGAATAATATTCCATTGTATATCTAGCCCACTTCTTATTTATCCATTCCTCCCTTAACAAACAGTTAGGTAGTTTGCATATCTTGGCTATTGTGAATAATGCTGCAATGAATAGGGAAGTACAGATATCTCTTTGAGAGCCTGTTTTCATTTCCTTTGGATATGTACCCAGAAGTTTTAATGCTGGATCATACAGTTCTTTTTAAAATGTTTTGAGAGACCTCCATACTGTTTTCTATAGTGGTCACATCAATTTACATTCCCACCAGCAGTGCATGAGGGTTCCCTTTTCTCCACATCCTCACCAAGATTTGTTACCTCTTGTCTTTAATGATAGCCATTCTAACAGGTATGAAGTGGTATTTCATTGTGGTTTTGATTTGCATTTCCCTAATAGCTAGTGAAGTTGGGCACCCTTTATATTGGCCATCTGGTTGTCTTCTTTGGAAAAATGTCCATTCAGGTCTGCTGCCCATTTTTTAATCAGAGTGGTTTTTTTCTATTGAGTTGTATGAGTTCTTCATGTATTTTGGATATTGAGCTTTTATTAGAAATATTATTTGCAAATATTTTCTCCTACTCAGTAGGTTGCCTTTTCATGGTGTTGATTGTTTCCTTTGCTGTGCAGACATTTTTCAGTTTGATGCAGTCCACTTGTTTATTTTTGCTTTAGTTCCCTTTGGTTTTGGTATCACTAACATGTTTATCTTCTAATTTCTAAAGGTCTTTCAGAAGATAGCATTTTGTATTTAGGACAAGTAGAAATATGAGATTCTGTTACCTACCACAGCCCTCCATGGGACACTGAACAGCTAACTTAAAGCCTCTCTAGAAACACAAGTGGGGACTTGATCTGGCAGAACTACTTCGATTCTCTTTGCCTACACTTTCCCCCCTTGCTGTCACCTGACCAGTCACACCTATGACAGAATGTGGTCAATCAGAAAGTTCAGTCTTGCCCTTCTACTACATGGAATCTTTCCAGCTCAAATTTCGGACCACAAAGATCAATAATTTCAGACAAAAATTCCATATGTGAAACTGCAATGCAATTAATGACTTCTATCTCTTACAGTCACACAAACTAAGCAGTTCTATCTTCTTGGAAGAAGGTCTCAAACAGGGTTCCTCTGGTGTATAGTGGTACTCTAGGAATTGGGGCTTTCGTTGCTTATGCTGAATACTTGAGTTCCGTATCCCCCTCCAAGAAGGCATAGAAAACACAACAAGTTATTAGATTACAATACAAGAACAAAAGTCTTCTTGTTTTTAAGTCTTTAAATTTTTCTTCTGTAACTTTACTTTAACCTTTTGCCTCTGCCTCCACTGCTTTATGTTGAAATCTAGTAAAAGATGGCATCTGATTTATATACTTAATTATGTTAAGCTTCATTTACCGATACTTCACGTTTCTCAAAGAGCATCGTGCTTTCTGGGTGTTGCATTTTAAGAACCAGCTTGTGAATTTCTGCTGTAGAACTTAAGAGACATCTATTAAGGTTTATTAAGTCACTTTATTTTCCATACTGTTTAGTTTATGTTGAGAAACAGTAGACTATGTTAGCAAGGAATTAAAATGCTCTCTTTTTCAAGAACAGCCACTAATACTGCATGATTACATTAAAACCTCTGTTAATATAAACCTTGTTTATACCTTTACTTTGCTATCCAAATAAAGTTGCATCTTTGTACAGGCATCATTTATATTAAAAACCCAACTTATCATAATTAATTGAGTGCCTCTCTTCCATTTGAACAATTGGGATTTTATCATGATTTCATTCAAACACTTCTACCTAAACACTCCTCATCCTTAAAAAAGATCTTGAGGGGTGGCCAGCTAGCTGAGTTGGTTAGAGCTCAGTGCTCACAACACCAAGGTTGCTGGTTCGATCCCCACATGGACTGCTGAGCTGCGCCCTGTAAAACTAGGTTGAAACAACTACTCGACTTGGAGCTGATGAGTCCTGGAAAAACACACTGTTCCCCAATTAAAAAAAAATTAGAATGACATTATGTTCACTCTTTTTAAAAAAATAAAGATTTTAAAAGACATACTTGTAATGGAAAAAGAAATAAAATTATTCAGATTGCTAAACTGGTCTTTGCTGCAGCAAAATAAAAGTGAGGAGTTACATGTAAGACTGAAAACGATCACTTTTACAGTTCAAGAAGTGGAGCCATACATCCCGTTTCCACAACACTTCAAGATAAACAGGACAGCACAAGCAGTGGCATGTAGCCCATTTAAATATTTGTTTTAATCCCGACAAGATCATCGATTTGGATATTTATAATATAATTACAACGCTTAGCGCATGTTGCTCACATAATCTAATTTTTCCTGGTGACATATTCTTATGAGGCTTTAATTTCAGCAGTGGCAAGAATTCAGGAACCCACTTAGGCTATCATTAGTAATGAGAGCCAAACCTGCTGCCCGTTCACACACCATGTGCACATATCTTATTTCAACTTTAAAGCACTTTGAACTACCAAGACACAATCCACTGCTACATGGTTTGCACAGTTGCACAGAATATTATCAGCCAGTGGCCAGCAACTTTACATTAATGTCCTGTAAGGCAATTAAAGGTGAAATACTCCACCCCTGCGCCATCTTTGTAAAGGGACTTTTGGAAAATTTCAAGATAGTCAAAGCCAATGAAAACCAAACTATAAAACTGCTATAAAATGCCACTGTCTTCCTTCCCTGGCACATATCACTAGTTAGCAGTTGCCTGAACTGCAATTTTCCGTTTTCACTCGATGTCACAGCATAAGCACGCTTTTATGACTAAAACGATAAAAAACTCAAAGTGTCATGTTCCACTAATCATTAGCTGACAAACAAACAATATAACTACAGGTGCCTTGTTCTCAAGAGCATGAAGGTTTTTCAGGGCTCATCTGAACTTTCCCAGTGACAGGCTGAGGAAATTTGAAAACAAGGCTTAAGGCTGAATAACTGATTGAATTCCACGAGACTGTACAAAGAAACCAATGCTAGCAAAAGAAATATTCTGAATGCCAAGAGAAGTATCGCCATCCAATAAATATATCATTTCATGCTAATGTGAGGGAGGGAAATGATTGTCAATGACTATGTCCTAAACTGACCATGGAGAAAGCCAAAAGAATACCTGAGGCTTCTTTAGAAGCATAATTGAGAAAGAACTGACATATTATTTCTCATACCCTTATTGCCATGCCATTATAACCACTGAGAACAGTTAGAATAGGATTGTTGTCACATTTACTTTCAATATGTTACAACATTAGAATAACAAAACTTCGTGAAAATAAAATTAGTAGGCTCATGATTAAAATGTCTCCCACCAAACTCAAGAAGAGAGAGAACTCTCCCTGAGGTAATAAGCCGGCTACAAGAGAACATTGTTTGCAGTGAATGCAGGGAGGGCCGCTTAGTAGCCACACTGTAACGTGACTTAACAGAATTCAGGGTGCGTATCAGATTTCTCAGACATGTGAGTAATTTTTGTCTCCCTGATCACAGCTGAGTGTGGGTCACATTGGACAAGACGAGGGTGATCTGCTCCTTAGCCATTCTAGGAAAAGTTTGAAAATCATTCTTCATTCCATTATTTGGGGATTAACTTCGTCACCACACACATGGGCAGATACACAACTCTCTCTCTCCCTGAAAAGGACCGGATGCTTACGTTTTCACAGTGAACTTTCTCCAGAGTGAAAGAACAACGACAAACAAACAGCAGGGCTAACAAACACCAGAACGCACGTCCACTCTTAAGACTGTACACCGGCACACAGTTGAAGCGTTTCTTCGGGATGTCATCCAAAGAATTAAGACATGGAGTAATTTAAATATTTGGATCACAGTAAACAGTTTTCTGGCAATATTAATCATGATCCTATAAGCAAAGATTTTCTTTACATAAAAAAAGCAACCAAATGTGCTCATCTCCTATGACAGATGGTGACGATACATGCTGTTCCTGTTCCCTAGCACTGTTCATCATCCTATTCTGCTCACTCTTCTTTTTCTTGTTCTTGAGATGCTCTTGATATCAGTCTCCAACAGTTCCCAATGCCCTATGCCCTACTCATTTGTTCACAAACGGCCACTGAGCACCTTCAAAGATTGAGGCACAATGCTGGGTGCTGCATGCATGCCCAGTAAAACACCTCTTAAAGTATTGCCTCTCCCTTTCTTTCCTTTTTCTTCTTCTTCTACTAATAAATAGTGGTAATCATCTGTGATGGCTAGTGGTCTATAATTTGCATCCTGTTAATCATATCTTATTTCATATAGTGACAAAATATCAAAAATATATAAAATACTTGATCAATTTATATATTGATTTCTTTCCTTGATGAGATAATATTACTAAGAATTTATTTCCATGACAATGAGAAATACAAATGTATCTATGTTATCACCAAAACTATGATGCAAGTTCTTTAGGGGAAGCTATGGATTCTTTCATAAATCTATAAATCCTTGAACACAGTAATAATAATGAATGCACTGAAGAAAAACAAAATTCACTGTGTTTCTAGATTGCCAATTCTCATAAACATAATAAAGGAGGCAATGTGTTGATGATTTCTGTGAAAAATGTAGCTCGATTATACATCTCCAGATATATGGGAGAACTCCAAAGGAATGAGAATGATTTCTCTAAGTCATATATGGACATCACCCTCATTACTTCTTGGCTGTATCACTGCTATGTGCCTCCTACACAGCTTTTTGCATTTACATAGTGAAAATATGAGGTCTGAGAATCTGATGGAAAGAAGAGAGAGTGAAGAAGGCCTCTCCAAAAGGATACAGTATTTCATTCTGGGTCCATGAGAAATCATGCACAGAATAAGCAGAGAGTATGTACTCACCTTGGCAGACTTCCAGCTAGCTCTGTGGTCGTCTCTCTGGAGGGGGAAAAAGAAGATAGGTATGAGGAGCTTATTTTGTTAAATTCTAAAGATGTGGTTAATAAAACCATAATATAATGTGCCAAGGCATAACGGTACCCCGTGTGCGCAGAAGATATTGTATATGTAGCTGTTTGGAAATTTAAAATGGACTCTAATCACATTTCTGATTAATTGCCATAGACACGTCCATGGTTCCTTTCAAAGGAAATTTTATACATGTGCAAAGTACCTGCCTCTGTTTCCTGGAGGTAGACCTTCACCAAGTTTAAAATGTTAAAAATTTAGAAATGTGCAACATACAGAAGGAAAATAGCAGGGAAAACACAAAACAAAACAAAAAAACAACTCCCAAATTACCTTTTTGGATATTTTCCAGTTAAACAAAGCACCTGTATTCTCTTTCAAGAATCATTCAGGAAAAGTTCCTTCAATGTGTCTTTGTGTGGATGATCTCTGTCACCTGAGGTTTGTGAAGAAGCATGAACAGCACAAAGTGCAATTCTTTTAGTAGCAAATTATGGTTTTCTAGTCCTTTGTCATAGTGTCCTGCCAGTTGGGACTGTTGAAAGCAGATGCTATGATAATTCAAATGGCACGAAAGATAAGTCACTAATTGAAGGCTCCATGGCATACTATTAAGAGCACCAGACACAAATTTTAAAACTAATTTTTTTTCTAATTGCAATATCTTATCCTTCAATCAGAGATGTGTTCTTGGAGGTTATGAGGAGCAAGGAGGAGATGGAGGCTTGATGTTGAGATATTTTAAAAGTGGAGGTAGGCTCAAGTTTAGACTGAGGACTTAAAGGTGTAATTCTTAGAAACAGTAGTGCAGACACTTTTTTTGTTCATATGATCCTTTTAAGAATCTCAATAAAGATATGAACACCTTATGTAAAAAAACCTAATATATCCATACATATACACACAAAATGTGGTGTACAAACTGTAGATGGTTTATGGACCTCCCAAAGCTAATACATCAACTCTGGGTTAGGAATCTCAGCTTTAAAGTAACATTGTCTTTACCCATCTTGTCCATCCAAATAAAGGACTTCCTCCTCCATAAACTGTTTCTGGCCCTCCTGGCTTCTAGAACTTTCTCCTACCTATTCTCTGTGACAGCACCTGGGCACTGTAGGGACGTGCTGGTTCCCATGGAGCCATCCATACTGCCTTAAACACATGAGTTATTCTAAGACCAGCTCCTACAGAAATGCTCTTCCCTAAATAACCATACACTATTAAGCCTTCAGCTTTCATTGCTATAGAAACTAGATTTTGAGAGAAAGTTTTCATTCCTTTAGCAAAAACCACATTTGAAAGCTTTGTCCACTGCACTGTTGAATGTGTTACATGTATTCATCTCTTCTGAGAATTCAGTGCCTGCACAAGAAATGTTTCTTTCTAAACAGAACTTGGAATTGTGGGTACCCCAGCTAAGAAGTAGCCCCTGATAGTCTCCCTTTATGACATTTATCACAACAGAAATATCTTTTCAACTCTATTCTATTATTTCTCAGTTTGTCACTTGAGACCAACATATGTGAATACTCAATAAATATTTGTTCAATTTTTAAGGAATGAATTAATGAACTTCTCTGAGCTTCTGCTGCCCTTGAGGTTTAGATCTATGTTTAGAACTTGATAATAGTAACAGCAGCAACCCAGGGTTGAGATACAATTACCTCTCCTTCTTTCTAATCTTTTAACTCCTTACTTTTGCTTTCCAGATTGTCTGTATTTTAATGTTATGAGTCCCCCCCGGTATCTTTCTAAACTATGTTGGACGTACGTTATGATAAATCCAATTAAATCACAGGAGAGCAGTGTTTCTCAGCCTCACACTATATTGACATTTTGGGCCAGATGTTCCTTTGTTGTGAGGGGCTGTTCAGTTCATTGTAGGATGTTTAGCAGCATCCTTGACCTCTATCCACTATGCCAGTAATACCCATCCCCAAATCCTTCTCATTTGTGACAATCAGAACATCTCCACAATTGCCAAATGTCCCCTAGGGACAAAACTGCTCTCAATGGAGAACCAGTGCAATATAGCAATAAAACTAAAGGGTCTGTGATTGATTTCTGTTTCAAAGCCTCATTGGATTAACCAACATTCTCCATTCCCATGGAAAAACATAGTGTCCGAGCCCTCTGAAGAATGCTTGGCTCACTTTGGCTCCTGCCACCTAAGTTCGCATGCTTACCGACAGTATGTCATATTTGTTTCCCAACCCACTTAAGTTAGTAGTTCTCATTCTAATTTTAAAATCTACTTAAACATGCTATAAAACCAATAAATTATGAGTACGAACAAGTTCTTATTTCTTTGAAAACTAAGTTGGAGTCTTCGGAAAGATTAAAAATAACAAGTAGCTTAAGAAAAACTGATGTCGAATTACATCTAGGGGCAAGACAACTATACATATAAGGGGAAGAAAGACAATTTTTTCTCAAGTGTTTTTAAATTCTTGTTCTTCTTAACAAATACATTAGAAATTCTTAGAAATACATGAATTCGGGGTGTGATTTATACAGAAAAGACAATGCCCAACTCCATTCAACAGATCCACACACACAAAGAAAAGGTGTTGGCCTTAACTTTACAGCAAAAGACAAATGTTGGGAAAAAAAGTTATGTTCTCCACAAAGGAAGTACTACCAGGGGAAACTTATGTTTTATATAACCATGCACTCAAAACTTTACATTAGAATTATAAACACTACTTCACAGGACAGATAATTTTTGGTGAATATGAATGAATGGATGAACACGGGTTAAGTGAAAAGATGTCACCTAAAAACCTGATGATTTTATTGGAGCATGCAGCCATATGATTAAAAAAATACTAAGAAAGAACAACTGTGTCCGACTACAGCAATGTGAC